AGGACTTCCTTCGACTTGCCTGTCAGCGATGGGAAGTACATTCCCATTGGTTTCCGAAAAAAAGCGAGCGAGTCCTACCAAGTGGGAGTAGTCGTCGAAAGCACTCTTACGTGCCAGGTGGACTTGTGTCTGAAAGGCTACCTTCTTGCCCCGAATACAACGTACGGTCATTATAGCGGTATTTAGACTGAATGAAAGATACCCCAAATTCAGCGATAATGACCGTACTGCGTTGTATTCGGGGGAAGACTGCAGGTTCGGCAAAAACTGGGTCGTCTGTGAGAGCAGTTTGTTTGTTTGAAAGGTTCTAAAATTTGCCCCTGAAGTGTTTGACATCCATTGAATGCTCGTCCTAGGGCATACTCACACTATGACTTTTTTTTTCTACTAAGCTCTGGACGCGATTGCGGTCAGATTCATCCAGCTCTGCCTGTATTTGCAGTCAGATCCCTTCAGGAAAGTACTATAATTGTGAGTATGCCCTTACTAATAGCGCCGTTAGCGGTATCAAACGGCAAACGCTCCCTAACGGAAAATGGGCATGATTGTCGGGGACGTCACCCTGCCACCGCTACGTAGAGCCATGCAGGGGTCCAGAGCTCCTCAATTAGACTGCCCTGATTGCAGAAAGCCCTCCGGAGAATTTCAGCAGTTCGTGATTGTTTGATACTATGGTAGATATTTCAGAAGAAGCGGGTACAGACCAAGCCATGTGGCTAAATGGTACGCACATATATTAACTGTTAATAAACAGATCATGAGTTCGAATCCTGATAAAATGAGACCGGTGGAATAGGTTAGGGGCTACTACCTCCTCGTGGAGTATCACGAGCACAGACTATCCCACACAGTCTATACATCCGTCGGGCTGCTCTAAGTTCTGAGGATCTTGTGAAGTGTGTGATAGTCTATGTGCTTGCTAGAACAAGTTGGTTATGTATTGTCTAGTATCTACATAAGATGCTTTCAAATTGGTCATTCATGACAGTACAGTGGCCGTGATAAGTAAGATGCTTTGGTCGTATTCATGATAGTACAGCGGCCAAGATCTAGTCAACGTGTTAGGCGAGGTTCACGCTCCACTGGCACAGAATTAGCACAGGCTTGCCGCGTCTGTGTGTTGTGTCGACGTGTGGTGTTGTGTGTGGTGTGGGGTGCGTTGGACACTGCAACAGGCAAAAAAAAAAATCCAAAAAAACACAAAAAAACCCCTAAATTCAGCATCATTCAGGATCATTCATCGTTACCTAGGGCCGAAAAGTGGGGGTCCCTGTTAACCGCTTATGCAGCCTTGCGGGGAAGGACTTCGAAAAACTTGAGTGGATATCATGACCCGTATGGAAATTCCACGTTTGAACACCGTGTCCTGGCCGAAGTGGTTAAGATAGTTGGCGTCTGAGGCTGAGGTCGCCGGTTCGAATCCGTCTTCGCATGGAGGACTTTGGCCCGGATGTATGGATCTGCGAACCACATTATTTACAGTGACTCAGGCTGTTACTCCAGGTTCAAGCTTGTCCTGTCGTACGTAAGGTGCTATGCTGATATTCATGATAGTACACCCAATGGCATGATCTAGTCAACGTGTTATGCCAGGTTCATGCGCGGTTGGCAACTTGGCACAGAATTAGCATAGGCTATAATATAGCATAACCTGTTACACCAGGCTCAGCTAAGTTGGCAAAGAATTTGCACAGACATGTCCATGGCAAGGTAGAACAGAATTTGCACATAGTATTACGTGGATGTGACTATATCCTGTTTTCATTGCGTGTAGCCCGGAGAGAACAGGGGGAGGCCAGACAGCTGTTGTTGACACATGGATGCCACCATCACGTGGGAATAGGCAAGTCACTCTTAAGTTCCGTGTCCATGTGTAAGGATGGCATAGTCTGGGGAGAGAGAGAGAGAGAGAGAGAGAGAGA